TGGGACCCCTCACGTATGTATATTATGTATATTATGTATATTATGTATATTCAAGTAATTAAGTAATTAAGTAATTTTAATTTTAAACATTTTATTTTATATTAAAAATAGTAAAGATCTCTCAGTCGTGCTTCCAGTTTATATAGCACATTCAGCATCATTACAACCTGCTCCTGTTGCAGATGCGGATCTTAACCATTTTCCTAATCATTATAATATGATGGATGAAAATAAAGATTTTTTTATTGAGGATGTTCGAAAAGATGATGATGAAGTTCTTGAATATATTGCATCACCTGTAAACATTCCATCTAAACAAGGAAATAGATCTTTACCTTGGTCAAATGATGAAGAAGGATATCATCGTGGTCGTCATTCACCAAAAAATTCATTTGGGTCAAGTTTATTTGGATCTGCGAGTCCAAAGAAATTTGGTTCATTTGCACAATCCTTCTTAGGTAAATCTAAACAAATGTCACCATCTTCACCACCATCAAGATTAATTGCAAAATCTCCACCATTAGCTCCTGCTTCTCCGTATGCATATATTCCAGCTATTGAACGTGTAAGATATCTTTCTTTTTCTACACAAGAACAAACTGCTATACAAAAACGTCCTTTCACTCCTACCAGATCTACTTTGAGTTATGGTATTAATAATAATAATAATAATAGTGAAAGAAATGGACTTAGTTCAGTGGCAGAGTCAGAATATGGTTATAATGTGTCCCCTCCTAAACCATTAAAAATGGTACAAAAATGGTTAGATAATCAAGATGATGATAGTCCCCCTGAAGTTCCAAATCCTTTAATTGATCCAATTGATAAAATTAATCAACCTACGACACCATCATCTCAATGGTCACATATTAATCAGGTACAAGAAGTTATAACGAAATCACCACCGAATCAAGTTATATCAACAATTGATCAATCACAACAAGTTTCTGTTCCAATACCAATTCAAAATATTTCAAAATTTTCAGATAAAACATTTCAACGTAGTAATAGTATTGTATCTTCTCCTCCCGGACCTTCTGGAATTTCATTATTAATGAACAATAAATCACCTAAGTCATCTGTTCTTGATACATTTGAGGACAAATCATTGATAAACTCGACAAACATTTCTAATGATCAAGTTTTTAAAGGGCATAAAGATGAAGAAGAAGAAGAAGATGATGATGATGATGATGATAAAAGTATTGTTATAATCAATGAAGATAATATTCCTAAGTCAAATTATCTTCAATTACCTAAAGATGAACAAGTTAGATCTAGAACACCACCACCTACAACTTCAAAACCTTCAAGTGATACAACAACAACTGATACAACAACAGCTGCTGTTGGTGGAGTTGGTGTAAATTTATCTGCATTATTGAAATGGGGAGGTTCTTGGATTGGTTATAGTAATAATCCCGAATATGATAAAAATGATAATCAAGAGAATGAGAAGAACGATAATAATTTGGATTCGAATGAAATTGTTACAAAAAACGAGACAATTGTTGATGGAAAGCAACGTAAAGAACTTCCACCTCCACCAGGGTACGCAACTGAATCGGTTAAAGCACGCGCAATAAAAGTTGAAGATATTGTACAAAATGAACAAACAGGTGAAATTGAATCTGAAATATTGAATGAAGGATTGATTACAAGAAAAACAAGGAGAATTTTACCTCCGCCACCTGAAGATGCAACTGATACTAAAAAAGCACGCGCAATTAAGGTTGATGAATATAAAAATATTCAGGACGTTTTTAATGTAGATGGATCGTCAGAAAATACTTCTAAAATGACTAACAATCAAAATGAACAGAATGCATTAACGACAGAAGTTCGACCACAACGTAATCTACCTCCTATTCCTAAAAAATCACCATCACTCAAGAATATAAATATAAAAAATAAAGAACCAAGCAAAAGTACAATTGTATCACCAACAATTGAAAATGAGATAACTTTATCTTCAAAAATAGTCAATGATACTACAAAAATTCGTTCAATATCATCTAGCCCGCCGGTACCACCGAAACCATCACATCTTTCTACCAGTCCTCCCTCTCAATCTTCCCCTCATCAACAATCCAAAAATATTTCTAGTTCACCACCAAAATCTTCACCAAAATCTTCAATGCCATCAAAACCTGTTACCACTAATCAAAATTTCAATAAAGCATCAATATTTGCAGCATTAGGACAAAGGAAATTACCCATTAGTAAAGTTTCGAATGTAATATCAACACCAAACAATAAATCTAGTCCACCAACTAAACCAATTAAACATTCACCACCAACTAAACATTCACCACCAATTAAACAATCACCACCAATTAAACAATCGGGATTTAATGTACCACGTAAACCCATAAGTCAAAACAATATTCTGAAAGAACCTGATGTAAATATTGATAAAAGAAAAGAACCCACAAATGGTGTGAAGAATATTGATTTTGACGAAATTAATGAACAATCAAAAAATATTGATAATCAAATATTAGGTGAAAATATAATACCTTCTGAATCAAAAATCTCATCATCACCTAAAAAATCATCACCATCATTAACTATAACTAGTTCAGATCCAATTCCTAATGCTAACCTTGCAAGGAAAAAAACATTTAGACAACATAAACTTGAACCGATGTTACCAACACTTTCACAAATTACTTTAACAAAACCAAATAACGAAAATATAATCATTGAAGAAGGAGAAGATTATTTTAATACTGAAACAACCAAATTTTCATCATCACCAATGAGTCAATACTCAAAAATCACATCAAACCCGACTACTTATGTAAATAATACCATAATTAAATCATCGAAAAAAAACAAAAAGTTTGAAGGAAATGAGAAAGATGAAAATAAAAATAAAAATAAAAATAAATTAGATATTATTATTGAACCCCCAAAACAAGTATTAAGTCCAAGATTACAAGAGTATATTAGTAAATACAATAAGGCAACTACTGGTGGAATGTAATGAGGACAGAAATACTTATTTTATTTTATTTATTCTTTTTATTCTGTATTTTTTTTATTTTTTTTTTTTATTCTTTTTATTGTATTTTCTTTTATTTGTATTTTATTTTATTTTATTTGTATTTTATTTTATTTTATTTGTATTTTATTTTATTTTATTTGTATTTTATTTGATTTGATTTATTGTAATTTCATATTTCGTAAAAGACATTTTAAAATGAACTTTTTATTTATTAATAGAATTTGAAATTTGGTTTTGCGTATAATTCATTTTTTTTTTTCCATTAAAAAAATTGGTAAATTATTGTTTGATAAATCGTAATTATATCACTTTTGGAAATAAAGAATAATAAAACTTTGTAAATTAATGTACTGACAATTATTATCGTCTAAAATTAAAAAACTTTTCTATAAAAGTAAATTAATTAAATGAATTAAATGTTATCTGAAATCTAAAACGACTCGGGAAATCTTTGGTTCGCATAACATTTGACATTGGTAAAACAACAACGTGGTGGTGAATGGAATATTCAGTTTTTGCAGGTTTTCTTATAAAATACCATCTTAAATGATGGCCACCGAAATTTATCTATATATGAAGTATTATTTTCACATATCACATATGAAATTTAATAGTTTCGAATCATAAAATATTCAATATAAAAACAAAGCTCAAAACCCGTTTCTGTATTGGTAAACCAGCAAATAATTAATACACTTAATGTTTCTTCGACGGGATAGATCAAATTTCAAAATTTAAGCGGATAGATTATTTATATAAAAATATATAACGCAGACCGTAAATGTTTAACAAAATCATGTTGGATATTTTGTAAAAATGACAATCAAAAAAAAATTATCGAAATTGATTGTGTAACTAATTGCAATTGTTATAAGAAAGAAAATTTCTTTTATCGAGAGTTAACTACATGCTTAAGAATGTCTAACGAAAGTGGTAACGATAACGATAATAATAATAATGACAATTCAATAATATTCTCTCGGGATAATTTATTTAATGATAAAGAAATTAAATTTGGATTTCATCATTACACTGAACAAATTCGTAAAGATTCAAAGAATATGTATGTTATATATTTTATCATTGATAATAATAAAATAAATAGGTTATTTAAATCATTTATTTAAATCAATTATTTATTTAAATTGAAATTTATTTAGATATAATAGATTAAAATCAATTTATGAAGACTCTAAATTTATCAGTGAAATAACAAATTTATTACCATATTTACCGGTTATAGGTATATAAATTATGAATCTATCTAACAAATCTATATCTAAACCTATATATATCTGATATATATATATATATATATGTTCAAAATGAAGCAAACGAACGATGTGGAAATTGGTATATTGATCAAAAAGTAAGATAATCCTCTCTTTTCTTTCAATTATATTCAGTAAAATAAAATAACAAAAAAATAATAACAATAATAATAATAATAATAACAATAATAATAATAATAATAACAATAATAGTTATGTGCTCAAAGTGTATATTTTAAATCAACCGATGGACATATGGGAAATTGGGATTTTAATATCCGAAGATTGAATGCTCATCTTTTGGATATTATTATAAAGTATAATGGGTGAGTGAATCAAATAATATATATATATATAATAATCACATAAAACCCAAATAACACATATATGAATATTAATATAATTAAATATAGTTGTATAATTGTTGATTCTACACGTCGTGGAAAACGTTTACCAGATTCATTATCAAAGACTATTCCTATTTGGTGTTGTACTATTAACCTTGCCATTAAAGAATACAAGAAAGATAAGAAATATCGGGATTCTTTGAAAGAATTTGAAGAATCAATTGAATGGGATACAGAATTTCATTCACTTTCCTCTGTAATCTCTAATTCCGAACATTCTCAAATTTCATCATTAATTCCACAATTTGCACAAAAACTTATTGTATGTATAATATTTATTTTTATTATTATTCTAATTTATTATTCTAATTTATTTATTATTATTTATTATTATAGAATTCAGATTTTGATTTAAATTCTTTATCCAATAAACTAAAAAAACCATTAAGACCACTCTGGTTTACTCCTTCTTCAAACTTATATAATTTACCAGATTATACATCTATGTCATTTTATCCTGTAATTTGTTTAAGTGCTTCTAAGATGGTGATTGATTCAGGAGAAAAAGGAATGGAAAGAAGGGATGGATTTCTTTATATTCAAGGTTCTGCTGATGATCATGAAATGTGGTCAATGGTTATTATTATCATATATATACTGTATATATTTATATGTATATATATCATATATGTATATATTTAATATTTTTAATTTATATCCTTGTTTTTAGGGTTTAACATCATCCCAATTTTGGAAATATCAAAAAGAAATTTTAGATACAAATGATCCAATAGAATGTGAAAAAAGAGTTAAAGAAATTGTGACCAGAGAGAAAATCAACAATTATAATATTGAAGAAAAAATAATTACTAAAGATTCTTTTGAAAATACTTTTTTTAACTTTATAGGAAATTCAAATATAGCTATAGGAAATTACAAAAGTGCTCACCCATCAAAATGTTGGTCAAATTTTGATTACATTATAAATTGTACACCAGAACCACCACCACTACTACCATCATCAACATCATCAACATCATCATCAACATATCCATATCATAATAATGATAAAGATAAAGATAATAATAATGATGATAAATATCTTCAATTATCAATTCCTGAAGGAAAAAAAGGACAAAATAAATTATTTTCAAGTATTCCAATTGCTTTAGAATTTGTTAAAAAACCTTTGGAAGAAAAAAAAAGAATTTTAATTCATTGCAAAGTAGGAATTGATAGAAGTGTTGGCATTTGTTTGGCTATATTGATAAATTATTTTGATGATGAAGGTAATATTAAATATTAAATATTAAGTGTCATATTAAGTGTATATTAAATACCATATTAAATGTTATATTAAATGTCATATTAGGAAACTTTATAAAAGAAGGAATCAATTATAATAGTAAGTTGTATTATTATTATTCTTATTTTTGTGAAATAGGTTAATAATATTATAATGTTATATTATATTTCAAAATTATTTAAAATATTCAAAATCCTTCTTTTGTTCAGTTGTAACCAAAGACTTAATACAAAAAAGATTGTTATTAATTACAAAATACAGAATCAAGGTAAGATTAATTTTTATATTATTATTATTATTATTGAATTATTAATCAAATGTTAATTTTTATTTATGCTTATATTATAACATACACATATATAATGTTTAGGCTAATCCAACCAGAGCAACATTAAAAAAGGTTAATAATTATTTTATGAGTAATTTACAATGATATTTATTTTTGATAATATTTATAATAACATATACATAGATAGATAGATTTATATATATATATATATATATTTACATTATTATACATTATTCTTTGAAAAGAATATATTTACTTTTTTGATAAAGGTAAATAAAGATAAATAAAGAATATTAAATATTAATACATCATTATTGTTATCATTATTACTATCAATATTACTATCAATATTATTATCATTTTTAAAAACCTTTCAATAACTTAAAAATCATTATCATCATCATCATTATTGTTGTTGTTATTGTTATTGAATTCTCTAATTTGTTTTTTTTAACTTTAATTATAATCTGTCCAATATTTACTCTTAAAGGAATTCCTAAAAATTTCGCTTTATTAAAATACAACCATTTAGGTAATGTACCATTATTTGGTTCCGTGATTGCAATGAATTGATGAATTCTTGAAGATGATTGTTTAACTTGATATGAAAATGGAAATTCGGATTTAGCGTAAAGTATTGGAATATTTCCACACTCTCCTTCACCGCCACTATTATCATATAATCATTCATTATTTATACTATTTAAAGAAGAATAATGAGAAATATTGTCCCATGAAACAGTAGCGGATGAATTAGAGTATAATGAACTTGACCTATTATTGTTATTGTTTTTTGTTGTTATTGATTATTTTCTTATTGTATGGAAAATTTTCAATTTGTTGAATAGGTCCATTTTCCAAAAAATTTTTTGATTAATTTCTGATGATGTTTCTTGATATATGTTAATTGTCTTAATTCACCCCGCCACTTCTTTGTAAATCTATTATGTATGTTTCTGAATCTCCTTCTACATCTAGTTCATCTAATGTATCATTATTATTACTATTTAATGTATTATTATTATTATCAGGAGGAGGAAAATTAAATGTTTTTTAAATTTCTCAAATAAAATAAGAAATATATGACGTAATAATAATGGCTAAAATTTTAAGTGGAATTAATTAAATTCACGTTTTACTTACACAATTTGAAACAAGAATATGCAGTTGAAGTTCCAATTAATTTTCTTGAATTCATATCAAAACGACATCATTCATTTGTGAATTATCACCACTATTGGTTAATACTATGTAATAAGGAGTATTGGAAAAAATGAACATCTCTATATGCTTGACGGACGAACAATTTTATTAGTTTATCATTGTTATTATTAACTACAGTATCTCCGTTATTGTTTGAATATAACATTAAAGAATTGATTCGTTTATTAAAAGGAGAATAATTTGGAGGCATAATTTTATTTTTATTTATAATTATTACTACTACTACCAATTATTATTATTACTATTATTATTACTATTATTATTAAAGAAGGACAACAACTATATTATTATTAACAACTTATTTAAATGATGACTTAATTCCAAATATCATATCAATCATATCATTGAATTTTACTAAAATTTACATGTAAAGTTTTAAATATATATCTTTCTGACTTTAATAACTTCAAAAGATCGACTAGTAGCAACATATTTTCAATAAAGTCAGATGATTTTGTTTAAATTTACTTTAAATTTAGAAGGAGACCTGTTAAATAAAATATTGTGCAGAGAGGTTTACTTCTTTTATAAACATGAAAATAAAATCAAATTAATAAAAATCAAATTAATAAATTCTTTAAAATAGAGCTTTTGTTTATATTAAAATTTGAATATAGGGAGATTTTATCATTCAATTTACAAATAAATAAATAAAATAAAAATAGTCAATACCATTTTTTTTAATCAAACCTTTTGGGATTTACTAAATCAATTCCAAATATTTTGATAAAATCAACGAATAAATTTAATAAATTTGTCAAGTGGTTCTAAAGTAATTTCTGTTTTATAACTTATAACTTGGATAATCTATTATTCCTTTTTGTCTATTCTTTGTCTAAATAAATATTTTCACATCATTTATTTTATGTTTATTGTTAATAACTTTTTAATTAATTGGTAATTTTATTGGAGCATATGGTAAAATATTTATATACTCAATAATATATATTTAAATAGATTCATATATATATATATATATATATGTATATACTCAATAATATGCTTAAATATGCTTAAATATACTCAAATTAAATATATACTATTATATAAATAAATAAATATAGATATATGTGTATAACTCTTTGCGGATAATTTTAAAAGTGAGTTCCCTTTGTAATTTATAATTTTGTATTTCCACATGGGATCATTAATTACATGACATTAAACGACTAATAAAAACATTATTATTTATTATTATAAATAATAACAAATAACAACATAACATAAACGATAACATAATGATTACTATATTTAGAATTAAAGTTTTATAATTATCTTTATTAACATTCCGATATATACATATATGTGTTATTGCATTTATTGTATGTAATTGTAATTGTATTATTATGTATTATCTCGCTTATTGTTGTGTCAATATTTATTGTTGTTGTTGTAAAATCCCGCTTATTATTACCCTTTACTATCTATTTTTTTTTTCGTTGTTTTATATTTCTTGCTTTTGTTATTTTATTTGTATCACGGTACATCAATAATAAAAAATAATAAAAAATAATAAAAAAATAATAAAAAATAATAAGAATAATAAAAAATGAGGCCGCGTAAACCCTTAAAGCCACAAGGATTTCACAACAATTATTTTTCTTCTAATGCACATTGAAGATTTGTTTAACAAATACAAATAAACAATTGGGTCAGTCACATAGCCCATCATGAATTTTACAATTTTTATATGTATATATCTTTTTTTAAGGGATTTAATAACCAATTTATCTTTAGTAATTCAATAAATAAAATGTTATTCTCTAATAAAAGAGAGGATCAATCAATAATTAATAATAATAATAAAAATAATGATATTATTCTTTATAATTAATCTATTCTTTATTATTAATTATTATTAGTTTGTAAATATTTCCTGATACATTTATTACATATGATCTGTACAACATACGATAATAAAAATAAGGTTTAATCCTGCATATGTGCAGAGTTCAATAAATTAAATTATTATTTGTAAAAAAAAAACTTATATTGTCATGAAAATCAGGAACAAAAAAATAAAAAAATGTTTCAAAAAGAATATTTAATAAAAAGAGTGATACATGATGGGTGAAAAAAAAAAAAATAATAATAATAAAATAAGATCGTAATCTCCAAAAATTTGACCCTGGCAATTATCTTTTTTTTTTTTGATCTTTTTTTTGTGTATCTTTTTTTTGTAATCCTTTGTTAATCCTTGTAATTTTTGTAACGCATGCCCCATTTTTTACATTTTATCAACTCTTTTTTATCATTCAACTCTAACTCTACTTTATTATTTACTGGTAATCTTCTGTGCAGAAAATCTTTTCTCCCTGGACGTTGTTATATATTATTACTACATATTTCTCCGTATTTATGAACACAAATATAATATTTTATAATAATATAAGAAATATATATATATTTAACAAAAAAAAAAAATCTTAATTTTTTTCATCTTAAACAATTTTTTTCTATCATCTTTTTATGTTTTGTCATGTTGCTTTAGGCTTAATATTGCTTATTTTTATGCATCATTGAGCAATATAAAAATTATTTCCCTCCAAAAAAAAAAAACAAACAAAAAAAAAATTCTTTATTAATTATTTGATATATATATATATATATATATATATCAGAGAAGAAAAAGAAGAAAGACTTGTAGTAATTTTTTCTTCTATTATTACTTATATCGCTTATGTAAACCAACAAAAAAAAAATTCTTTTAATTAATTCCTTTTTTTAAAAAAAAATGGACAATAATACCGTGAATATTAATACTGTGCCTGTTGATAAGGAAAACATTATAACCTCAAAAGACGATAGTAATAATGAAAACAATAATACTACGAAAGAAACGACAAAAACGATATCCGAATTTCCTCCCGCGTCTTCAAGTTCAACATCACGTTATTATCCATTAAACAACAATGAATCTTTCACGAGGTATGATTTCATATGATTATCTAGAGGACGACTTCTTTTCTATTATTATTATTATTATTTTTATTTTTATTTTTATTTTTATTTTTTATTTTTATTTTTATTTTTATTCTATTCTATTTTATTTTTTTACGTAACTTGAAAAAAAAAGCATCAAATAATATCAAATAATGAAATAAATGTATGTGCATGAAGGACATGAAGGACAAATAATTTTTGGACAACATTGTTCTTGTGACGGATTATTTTGCATGTCGCGTAACCGATCGTCGGTTAAAAATTAATCTATATTAGCATATTAATATTAGTGTTTTTTATATATAATAACAAAGGAATTAATGTTTGTACGACGCGAATACATAATTTAAGTTGGAATGGATAGCAAAAATTTTCGGAACTCTTTGGTTGATTATTTGTTATTATTGCTTGTTGCTTGATATAAAAAAAAAATTTTCATTAAGGACACGTGAATCAATTAATCAATTCCAATTTCTTATATATTTTTTGCATAAATCTAATTAATAATTGTTTTATTTAATTATATTTGGTGGTGTGGGTTTGATTGTGAACATTAAAAATATATATAATATAGAGCATATTCGGATTTCATGAAAATTGGTGGTAATCGAACACGAGAAAATCGTTTATCTGCTCCAACTCCTTACAGACCGATGATGGTGGATTATAATTATAATAATAACAATAATAATAATAATAATAATAATAATAATAGTAGTAGTAATAATAACAATTATAATGTTCCTATTAAACCTCGTCCAACTTCACAAATCTTACTTCCAACTTCAATGCAACGTTATAGTTCTACAATGTTACCTAAATTAGATCGAGATTCAAATGTATTAGCAAGAATTTTAAATTGGCCATCAATTAAATTAGATCATAAAAAATTCTCGGAACAAATTAATGATATAACAACAAATGAAAATATAGAAAAAAATATAGAAAGTATAGAAAATATGGTAAATGATGGAGAAATAATATTTGATACCATATTAAATCAATCTTCGGGAGAGAATCAACAAAGTACATCTCGAACCCCTTCAATATTTTTTATGCCTCAACATCAACATCATCGTCAGCAATCTTCTTCGATGGATGAAACGAATATCACAACTCAAACAACTCAAATGGCACAAACAACAATTCAAACCAAACAATCAGTTCAATCAATTCAATCAATGTACCAAATAAATAATTATTCATCAGAAGAACTTTCAACAACCAATTACGGTACGGAAATTTTTGATCAGATAAGGTCAGATGATGATCCTAGATTAATAGTATGGTCAATACCAAGAACTCCAGAAGGAAATGATAATAATAATAACAATAATAATAATAATAATACACCATCAAAAAAATGGATTTTTTATGGATCAAAAGGTAGAAAGGATAATAAGAAACAACAACAGCAGCAACAAAAACAACGTGTTACTCAGAAGAAAAATAGACCAAAACCAATAGGATATTCGACTACAAGAAGAGTTATAATGGCAGCCACTATTGAGAAATTAATAGAAAAATTAACAAGTGAAATTGGTATTTTTTTTTTTTTGATGTTTTCGATTTTTAAATGATTTCTTTTTTTTAAAAAAAATTATTTCATTTTAAAAAAAAATCATTTTAAAATCATTTTAATAATTTATCCTGGTAGATTATACTTTTTTGACGGACTTCTTCCTTACATACAGGAATTTTATATCGCCAATACAATTATGTAATCTTTTAATTCTAAGATTTGATTGGGCATTTGAAAATGAAGAAGAAGATCGAAGGATTGCTAGGGTTAGGTGCGATAAATTATTATTATTTATTATTAATATTAATTTATTTAATATTAATTATTATTTATTTATTTATTTATTATTATTATTTTATTATTATATTATTATTATTATTGTTATTTAAATTAGATTAAATAATTAAAAATCTGTATTTGTGATGTTATCTCTCAATGATTTTTTTGATTTAAATAATTATTAATTATATAAAAATACAAATTAAATTTAACAGGATATTTGTGGCGATTCGTCATTGGCTTCTCAATTATTTTTCTTACGACTTTGTCCCATGTCGTGAATTAAGATCAACATTAACAAATCATCTCAACAATCTTCATTCACGTCAATCCATCAAGGATTCTCCTCGTGATCGAAGGATAGTACAAGGATTAAAAAGGGTGGTGAAAAGATTAAAAAGAATTTATTTTCGGAAAGGTGGAAATCTTGAAAATCTTGATTCTGGAAAATATGAAGATAATTATAATTATAATAATAATATAAATAATAATAATAATAATTATTATAATGATGATAATAAAGATAATAAAAAATACTTTGAAGACATTGATGATATGGTTATAGTGATGCCTCAAAATAAAGAATTAGAATCAATTGGACATTATTATGATATAGAAGAAATTATGATAGATAGTGAAAGAGGAGTTGTGGGAACTTCTTTAACTTTTCAGGATGAACAATCAACTTCTTTAAATAAAAAATTAAAAAAGATTTCATCATATTCTTCTTTAGAATCTATAATTACTCCCGGAACAACTGATTCAGAATATTCAGATTTGGAAGAAGAATTGGAAAAGGAATTAGAAGAGGAATTGGAAGAGGAATTAATGATAAAAAATACATTAAAGAATAATTCAAATTCACAACAACATCAACAACAACCACAACAATCACAAACAGATATTGATTTATATCATAATAAATGGGTAAAATCATTACCAACTATTTCTAGTGATAATGATGATGATGATAATAATAATAATGTTGATAATATTATTGATAGTTCGGAAGTTAAAAATGACAATAATGATGATGGTTCAGGGGTTGAAAATAAAAAGAGAAAGGACTTTAAATCCATGCGTTCATTAATATTAATTGATCCATTAAAACAATCTGAAAAAAAAAGGAATCTTGAAAAAAGAAGATTTAAATTAAGAAGTAGTTCAATGGGTGATTTAAATTTAAAAAAGAAATTAAAAGATAAATTGGATATTAATGATATGAATGTTATTAATGAAAATAATGAAAATAATGAAAATAATGAAAATAATAACAACAACAACAACAACAATAACAATAATAATAATAATGAAGAATTAAAAGAATCACCTCCACCTCCTCCTCGTCGTCGTTTTCGAAGACATACTTTAGATGTTTTTTCATCAAAACCTCCACCTTCCCCTTCTTTCTTTAAGAATATAATTTCTAAAGGTAGTAATCCCATAAAAAAATTAAAAAATATATATCACGAAAAAGTTGATAATAATAATAATGGTGGTGGTGGTGGGATAAATCGAAAAAAGAGAAGTTTATCACTTTCAGAGACAATATGTGGTACAATTGAAATTGATGATGATGATGATGATGATGATGATGAAAATAAAGATAATGATAGTACCATAGACGATGAATATGATTTATTTCGTTCTGAAATTATTACAAAAAGAAGAAATTCTTCTACACCGAAAAATATTCTTAATATTGTTAATGGTTTTAATGATAATAAAAATAATGATGATGATAATGATGATGAATACGAAGATCGACGACGACAAGAACAACAACAACCACCACCACCTAAATCCAATGAAAAATCAAATGATGAAAATAATAATAATAATTCTAGTAATAGACCTTCATGGCATCGTAAAATGTCAGGAACTATGGGAAGATTAGCTAAAGGTTTATTTTCAAGTGAAAAAACTAGAAGTCCTATACCAATATCTATGATAGGATGTGGTTATAATAATAATAATAATAATAATACTTCTAATCGAATAAGTGGTAAAGTGAATCTATTTTGTTCTTCTCCTCCCAAATCTACCGCTATTGATTTAGATGGTTTTTATGGTGAAAAAGTTTCAAATCCTTCTTGGAATGAAAATGATTTATATCACTTAGATGGTTTTTCTTATATCGATGAATCTATTGAAGACGAAGAACATTATGATATTGCTAATCCAGAAGATTTTGAACAAACCGAAAAACAATTTGAAAATTGGGACAATGAAAATACAATAGATTATAATGAAAATAGTTCTTTTTCAATTCCAACTGATTCAAATCAAAATAAATTTTCTTCATTGGATATAATAGAACCGCAATATGAAGAACAAGATAATAATAATAATGATGATGATAATAATCAATTTAAACATAAGATAGAAGAAACTTCTGATAATCGTCAACTAATCAAATCTTTACGTAGAGGTGCTAAAGTTTGGGATTTAGGTCCATTAAAAGAAATAGAAAATGATGAATTTGAGGAGGATGAGGAAGATATAAATATTATCCCTTCATCATCATCACAACAACAGCAACAACAACAGATCTCTATACCGAATACTCCCACCACTCCCATTGAATCCGAAAATTATCCTTCTCGTACTCTCCGTCATCTTCCTAAAGTACACGACTTACATTCAGTTATTACACTTAAAGATCTTGAAAATAAATCTTGTAAAAGAATTTCAAGTGACACATTTTCATTACAAGGACTTGATGAAAATCGTCATAATAATAATAATAATAATAATAATAATAATAATAATAATAATAATAATAATAATAATAATAATAATAATAATA